GATAATAGCTCACTTTTATATGGCACCTGAAGGTATGCAAAATACTTATTTTAATTCATTTATTCCTGAGAGGGGAAGGAAGTAGAAAGTAGCACTTAAGCTGAGTCTTGAAGGGATTCTGGGAGGCAGAGATAAAGAATAAATTATTCCAGGAAAGGAAAAATGTGCAAGCAACAGTAAGTAGACCAGTTTACACCCACTTTTTACATATCCTGTTTCTTCTAAATAAGATGTATCTTTCCAGAGGTACCTCTCCATGGGTCTCATCTTACCAAGTCTCAATGATATCTAAGAAGTGAAAGTATCCTTTTTGCTAAGAACAGAAATTCATCTTCCTTGTTATTTATACTTTGTACACTGATTTACAGTCATCTGGGGCCACGAAGTTTATTACAGATTCCTTTCGTGGATTTTGTCTCCTGTCATTTTCTCAGTGTCTACTACTATTTATTCTACTTTCACTGTAGATAATGGAATATAGCTTAGTTGATATGCACCAGCAGTTTTTTTTTCCTTCCTATTCTTTCCCTATCAGATTAAAGCCTAAAGATTCACAAGACTACAGGAAAATGCATTCTTTTTCTGTAATTTAAATTTTATATTTTGAATTTAACAAATACCAAAAGAAATTTCCATATACAAAGTAAACCAAAAAAAAAGATATGTGAAAATGAAAATCTATATTACATACATTTTGCTACATAATAAATTCAGTATATTACTTTCAAAGCTATCCTACTTGTTTAATTTCCCCTCTGAATTTCCTTCACTTCTCTGCATTTTTGAAAATGCTTCCACAGCCATCTTTTATTTCCTCCTTTTTCTGGAGAGGAAGGGAGGCATCACTAACCTTTTACCATGCCCAGAACCCCAAAAAAGAAAAGTAAAATCCTGACTACATGTTGAAGGAGACCAGCAAAGCTGATATAGTAAGACAAAGCAGCCCATTTCCCTCACAATTACTCCAATAAAGACTGAGGAAATGCACTCTCTGGTGTAATAGGGAAATCCAAGGAGAAACCACAGTGCTTTATTTTTCCTGCCAAGATCATGGATTCACCCTACAGGTATAGTTGTACTATGTATCTCTAGTCATGCCCTGAGCAAGATATCAGACTTAGCCCAGGACAGAATGACCAGAGAAGGATCTGCAAGCAAGGGATGGGCCTATAGTTCTGTCACTCTGCTCCCAGAACACGATCATGGATTTGGTGCACAGGTAAGTGACCAGGGCAAGGGCACTGGAAAGGGGAGTGGGGGAGACAGAACTAAGGTTCTTTTATTCTGAACTTGTAGAACCTTCTAGCTCACTGATGGAGCCTTTGTCAGCAATTGTCTACTGGAGCTCCAAATAAGAGCAAGTTTTAGTTGTGTTACACAAACCCAAACTAGAGTCTGAAGTCTACAAAAAACTAAAAATAGAAGATTAGGAAATAGTGTCTACTAAAATTTTGCAGCAACTTGATGTGCTCTGGCCCTGTGATCCATGAAAAACATACTACTCAGTACCAAGAGAAGACAGTGGCAGAATCTAAGATAATACAGATCAGGACTGCACAAGAACCCAACATTCTCTCCTAAAGTGGGCAGAACCTAATCCAAAAACAGAGTCCCAATTCATGAAAGATGGAAGAATGAGGAGGAAAGAAGGAAGGTGGGAGGGAAGAAGAGAGGAAAGAAGGAAGGAAGGAGGGAAGGCAGGAAGGGAGGGAGGGAGGGAGGGAAGAAGATATGAATTGTAAAGTGCTATTACAGAAACAGGAATGCCTATGACACAAACCCAGAAGGAAATAATAACTCTTAATAAATCTACAAGCAAAGCCTCAAAGAAAAATACAGCTTCATCGTGAAATCAGCTAGTATTTCTGAAAGAAATAAAGCAAGAGGGGCAGCTAGGTGGCCCAATGGATAGAGCACCAGCACTGGAGTCAAGAGAACCTGAGTTCAAATCCAACCTCAGACAAACAACACTTACTAGCATGTGTCTCTGGGCAAGTCACTTAACCTTAACTGCCTCACCAAAAAAAAAAAAAGAGGTATTTTTACTTTATTTTAAAACTTTACCTAAGCAAAAGGCTCCCTGAAAATGAGAATGAGCCAAAAAGAAATTAATGGCTACATGACAGAATAAGAAGTATTAAAACAAAGTCAATAGACTGAAAAAATAGAAGAATACATAAAGTATCTCATCTTTAAAACATCCAACATGGAAAATCAAGAGAGTAAAATGGAGATCAAGGAGCAAAATTTTAAAATTATTGGACTACCTGAAAGCCATGACCAAAAAAAGATCGTGGAAATTATATTTCAAGAAATCATGAATGTGGGGAAGGAAAATGGCAAAGTTAAAACTAGGCACTGCTTCTCTGAACTCCCCACAGCTTCCAAGGGCAGATTCTGAAGTGGCCCTGTGTCTTAGGGAGAAGACAAATACAGCCCACCATGCCAGAGGAAAGTGGCAGTGGTAGTGGTGGCAACCTAGGCCTAGGCAAGAAGTTACCCTTCAGGTCAAATGTGACCAACTCCATATGCTACCTCAACTTCCAACCTCCTTCACAGAAGACCCGAGAAGCCAACAGAGCCCACAGAGGGGCTCTATTGTCCAGTGTTAGAAAAACTTTTACCTAAAATGATATTTTAAAATTTATAATTTGTGTTTTAAGTGGTGAATTTCCACTGCCCAGAAAATTTGCACATAATTTAACAAAGTCTTTTTAACAAATTACTTATATATAACATTTGTATTCAAATATTTGTTAAATTGATTACAAATAAAATTTAATTTCTTTCCAAAAAATTAGGAATGAAAACTATTTAGATCTATTAGAACTAGAGGACAAAATGAAAATAAAAAGAATCTACCAATCATCTTTTGAAAGAAATCCGAAAATGAAAACTCCCAAGAACATGACTGCCAAAAGCCAAAAACTTTCAGGTAAAAGAAAAAAAAATACTGCCAGCAGCTAGAAAAAGATCAAGTACCAAAGTGCCACAGTCAGGATCACATAATACTTGGCAGCTACCACTAAAAAGGAAAGGAAGGTTTCCAAACTGTCATTTTTGCTTTCACACTGAGACAATGGTTTTTAAAGGAATATTAATGCTCAATCTTAAAGGGAAAAAGCACTTGCAGAGAGGCAGGAGAAAAGTAGATTGGGAAAAGCTACCTGCAGAAGGTGGGATTTGAGGTAAGTCCTGAATAAATCCTGACAAGCCTGGGGGTGAGGAGGGACATCATACCAAGAATAGGAGACAGTCAGTGAAAATGCCCAGTCAGGATATGGAATGTCCTGGGTGAGAAACAGTACATAAGCCAGCTGAACTGTAGAGTACATGAAGAAGACTAGAAAGGTAGGAAGGGAGCAAGCTGTGAAGGGCTTTAAATCTCAAACAAAGGATTTTATATTTGATGCTACAGTTAATAAGTAGTCATTAGATTTTATTGGGGTTAGGGAGCAACTGAGTGAAGGACAGATTGAAGCAAAGCAACACTACAGGCAGGAAAACAGTCTAGATACAAAATGACTAAGGCCCGTACTAAGGCACATAGTAAGTGCTTAATAAATGCTTGTTGACTAATTAAGGTGGCAGCTGTATGAGGGAAGAGAAGGCAATGTATGTCGGAGATTGTGAAGGTAAAAATTACAAAATCTGACAACAGAACAGATATATGGGATGAATGCCCATAAGGAACAAAGGACAATGAGGCCACCTACGAGACTGGGAGGATGGTAATGCTTTTGACTGATAGGAAAGGCTTTAGGGGAAAGGATATTAAGTTCTGTTTTGAACATATAGAGCTTGAGAAGCCTGCAGGATATCAAATTTGAGATGTCCAAAAGGTAGTATAGGACTAGAGCTAGTTTAGGAGATTATGGCTGGATATATAGTTCTAGAAAGTATCTCATAAAGATTTTATTTGAACTCATGAGAGTACATGAAATTGAAATACTATAGAGGAAAAGGAGAAGAGGGTCCAAGAAAGAGCCTTAGGAACATTCATGATTAATGATTGTGACCTGGATGAAGATCAAGCAAGAACACTGAGGTGTGGGATAACCAGAAGAAAGCAATGTTCCAAAAACCTAGGGAGGGGAGAGTATCTAGGAGGAGAAGGCAATCAATATCATCAAAGACTGTAGAGACATCAGGATGAGGACTAAGAAAAGGAAATTCAATTTTAACGATTCAGAGAACATCAATAACTTCAGAAAGAGCAGTTTTAGTTGAATGATGAGGTCATAAATCAGAGAGTTTAGGAGCAAGTATGAGGAGAAGTAGTAGAGGCACATAGTATAGATGACTTGGAGCTCTCGAGAGCTATCAAGCCAAGAAATAAGGGTAAGTAGAAAATTTAAATAGGTAGATAAATTTAGGTAGTTTACCCATTAGTTTAGATTGGAAAACACTGCTCTAGATCAGAAATCAGAGACATATCAGATTTGGGGACAGGAAGGTAGGCAATTGTGGTTATGAACAATTATAGAAGGATAAAGTACATGTTCTAAAATCAAACCAGTAACAGAGAAACCTAGTTCCAAAGGGGTTAAAAATCATTTTGTTGTGAATTAAATAAAGGATGAACTAATTTATCTGCCATTTACTACCTGTGCAACCTTGAACTATTCACTTAATGTTCTTGCCTCATTTTCCTTCTCCTGAAATAACTGCCTCTAAGGTCCTTCCCAACTCTAGATTTATTACCTTACAATATTTCCAGCCATAAAAGTCTGTGAACTGATATGGTATATGAAACCATAACTTAAATATATGTGCACATAGCTTTTTGTAAGAGTTTTTTTTTAACGTATGATGTTATATCACTATACTTCTTGCATAATATGAATAAAGAAGTATTCATATCATTAGATTGACATATTATAAATTGTTATTGTGTTTTCTATATAGTTATCAGTCCAAAATACTTAGGTATTCATTAGTGGAAGTAGTTAACAAAAACCTAATTATACAAAATTATTTTTTTAAGAGGATAGATTTACCTTGACTTTGGGTCAGGTGAAGAATCTTTGATGTAACATATCTGGCAGCTTCTGCTTCTGGACATTCATAGTTGATCTTCTCCAGCTGAGCCAGGAGTGCCACAATCCGAGAATTGCTAGTAAGGCTAGAAAGAATGTTATTTTATGCTTAGACTTCATGCCATATTTGTATATTTTAAATATAATTCTTAAGTAACATGAACTCAATTCAATTTAACAACTATCTACTGAGCACTTGTATGCAGTACAACCATGCTAGGTGCTAGATTAGATTCAAAGTTTAGATAAGACATCTCCCCTCCTTCACAAAGCAAGTGAGGTGGTATGATGGAGGCAAAAGTACATAAAAAGCACATTAAAGATGTATAAAAACAATATGTGTACAAGGTCTTCAGGAGATGAGGAAGGAAAAAGTTAGTTGAACATGATGGTTCCCTCATCACAGCACACTACCTGAATGCTGCCTTTGCACACATCTCACTCTCTCTGGTATCAGTTATTTGTGTAGTCCTTCTTCCATTTAGACTGTAAGCTCCTTGGGAACACAACCTATGTCCTCTCTATCTTCACACTATTAGCATTTTGCCATAATATATAAGATACTAGGTTTATTATTTTAAAGTTCAATAGGAATACAATAGACAAAGATGGAGAGACAGAACATCCTGAGGACAAGAAACATAAGGAAAGGTACTAGAATGTCCACAGAACTCAAAGATCCCATTGCTAATTTTAGATATAGAAGTGCCCTATTCTAACTTCAACTTCAAATAATCATATTATATCTTGGGATCATATGTTTAGAGCTAAAAAAGACCTCAGAGGTCATCTAGTCCAACTCCCTTATTTTGTAAATGAAGGAAGTAAGGCCCAGAAAGTTTAAATTACTGAACAAAAGTCACAAAGGTAGGTAAAAGGTGGCAGAATTTGTATTCAAACTCAAGTTTTGACTCCAGATTCAGCATTCATTCCACTGAAACATATCATTAGTATTTTAAGTAAAAAGTAATTTTAATAGAGATATTATTTAACTAAGTTACAATTCCACTAATCTCAGATGAAGAACTGACTCCACAAAAAGTAAATGCAAAACTGGTATTAGGGAATATGATATCTAAATAGTTTAAGACTCTACTACAGAAAGCAGTTTGTATTGTATTAATTTAATGTGAAATTCTGAGTCTAAAAAATAAAAGACTGAGGCTTTATTCAGAAAAATAATTTTTCATTTTAATTGATAGGAATGTTTGTTAATTTTAACTAATAAAATATTTGTACTACTCAAAAAGATCTTGGTAAAAGACACACAAAAAAGATACATTTCTGCACATAAACATATTTAGTACATATTTAGTCATCAAAACAAATTTTAAAAGGACAGCAAAATTTGATCAACAACACTGAAAAAAAATCATTACAAAGTTCTGCATTAGAATAACTGATCCTTCCTTTTCCTTCCGAAGTCACTCTACCTACTCAGGCTCAGAATCATCAGAACCATTTTCTTACACACGGTGTAAAAAGGGCTTCCTCAGTAATTAGTCTCAGATTAGTGATTAGTATCAGACTCTAATCTAACAATAATCACTGGGTGGGCATCAATAAGTCATGGAATTAACCCTGTCTGGCTCAGATAACTTCTAAGGTCGTTTCAGCTGAAACTATTCCAAGGTCCTTCAGTTCTTAAAGGTGTTGTTGAAACAGTTAAAGTAGATATAATCACTAGAGGGCAGCACTCTCTTTGGAATGATTTTATACAGTAGCACATACTGCATAGAAAAGACCTAAAAATCCATTTAAATTCAATGTATAAACAAAAGCCAATTAGGCTGACTTTCCTAGGGCTCAGCAACACTTCAGTGGTAGCCATAGTACTATTGCTAATGTTGTTATCTTGATGCCTCCCAGGATTCAACTGCCTTAATTAAGAGAAGTGTCTCTTACACTAATACATAATTATATATTATACTTATGCTAATATGTAATAATATAATAATAATATACATTATACTAATAAGCTAGATGAAAATTATTATGTAATGAGCTACACATTGCGACAGAGCAGAAAGACAGCAAACTAGGAAGTCAAGAAGAGGGTTCAAGTTCCACCTATAAAACAATGGCTGGATGATCTAAGCAAATTCCTTAACTTCTCAATGTCCAAAGCAGCCCTCTAAGACTACATGTAGCACAGCAGACACCCATCTATATTCACAGAGAGTGGAAAACACAGGTCTGGTACAAAATAAATAACTGAACTCACACTGACCGTTAGTCTTTGATAATCAATCATTATTGCAAAATTCTAAGCCATTAGCAAACATCCAAACTATCACTTCAAGATTTATCTAGATGAAAATTAGATCAGATGACATCTAAGATTACTTTGGGCTCTAAATCTATAATCCAATAATCAACCTTTCATAATATATTAAAATATTTAAGTTTCTTCTAACCAACCCTGTCATTTCACATAACTATCTGCTGACAACTGTTTTTTCTAAAGCAAGTGGATCCTAAAAAATGTTAAATGTTTTACTATTCAAGCCTATGGCTTATATTTAAATTATTTTATGTAAATTTTACTAATTTGTTTGATATGACTTACTTTTATTAATACTTCACTTTTTTGTTGTTCAGTTGTTTCAATCATGTTCAGACTTTTTGTGACCCCGTTTGGGGTTTTCTTGGCAAAGATACTGGAGTGGTTTGCCATTTCCTTCTCCAGCTTATTTTACAGATGAGAAACTGAGGCAAACAGGGTTAAGTGACTTGCCCAGAGTCACACAGCTAGTGTAAGTGTCTGAGGCCAGATTGAACTCAGTAAGATGAATCTTCCCAACTCCAGGCCTGGCACTCTATCCACTGCACCACCTAGCTGTCCTAATATATCATTTTACCAAACACAAATTTTCACTTTTATAACCAATCAACAGTACTGCCAGATTTTAAAGAGTAAAAGTTGAAAATATCTCTGATGATTTTAGCTAATCATAATAAATACAGAAAGAAAAGTGAAATCATCTTCACAAATCTCACACAGGTAGAAATCACAAAACTTCATTATTTAAATTAGAGTTGCTTGCTAGGATACTGGTAAACCAAGATGTTTATGAATTAAGTGAAATTTTATCTTTTATATTTCTTTCTGCAGCCTGCTTCTCTCTCTCTCTCTCTCTCTCTCTCTCTCTCTCTCTCTCTCTCTCTCTCTCTCTCTCTCTCTCTCACACACACACACACACACACACACACACACACACACACACTCCCCCTTAGTAGCCAGTGCCTTCATGCAGTCCATGATACCCAGCAACGCCTCAAACAATTGTTGGCCTCAAAACATACCTCCTGTGCTAAACGCACCCTATACCTGCTTTACAATATAATTTATTTCTAAGCAAATGAGTCCCAAATTTATATATTTAGTATTAATCTCTCTCCTAAGGTCCAGTCACACATTTCCAACTGTCTACTTGGATGCTGCACAGGCATCTCAAACTTAACATATCTAAAATAGAACTTAATCTTTCCCCCAAACCCATCCATTGTTCTAACTTATCTTTCTGTAGAGGGTACCACCATTTTTTTTTTTGTAAAATTGGGGTTAAGTGACTTGCCCATAGTCACACAGCTAGTGAGTGTTATGTGTCTGAGGTCGGATTTGAACTCAGGTCCTCCTGAGTCCAGGGCCAGTGCTCTATCCACTGTGCGGGTACCACCATTTTTACAGATTCCTAGTTATACAACTTTACTGACATCTTCAACTCTTTACTCACATTTATCCCCATAGCTGAAAAGTTGCCAAATCATGTCAATTCCATCTATTCAATATCTCTCTCATGTCCCCTCCTCTCTACCAATAACAGCCACTCTAGTCCAGTATGTCAGACTCCTACATAGCTTCCTAATTATTCTTGCATCCATTCTCTCCCCTCTCTCATCAGTGGTCCACAAAACTTTCAATAAGTCTGACCCTGTCACTCCCCAACTCAAGAAGCTTCAGTGGCCTCTCCTTGCCTTTAGGATAAATATAAATTCCATTGTTTGGCATTTAAAACCGTTCATAATTTTGTCCTAGCCCAACTTTCTAGCCTGGTTACACAATACTCTCCCCTCCTATGCTGCTCTTCCCCCCCACCCCTACACCCCCCCACCCCACAGACCAATCCAACAAAATTAGTTTAGTCGTTCTTCCCTACACATGACATTCTCCTGCCTGCCTGGCTGTCCTCCAGATCGGGAACATTTTCCCTCCTCATTTCTACTTTCTAGAGCTCCTAGATCTCTTCAGGGTTAAGCTCAAGTGTCACTTACTTTAAAAGACCTTCCCTGATTCCCCTATTTGTTAGTACCCCCACTACTGGGTATTTTTAATATATTCCGTATTTTAAAATAACCCATGAACATGTTATAGCCCTGCACCCTTCCCACCCCGACCCAAGTAGAATACAAGTTATTTTGTGGCAGGGACTATCACAGTTTTGTATTTGTAGTCTCAACACCTAACACCACACCTGGCACACAGCCTTCAGGGAGGAAAAAAGAAACAGAGGCTTTCAAGGCCTTCCTTTCATTTGCACTGCATCTCATGCTGCACATGTCTCTTAACTGGTGTCCAGCCACCCATAGGAAAAAAAGAGGCCCTTTAATGATTAACATACTCACATGTGGTCACACCTAACACATCCCAGTGAATCTGAACACCTGTAGGTCATCATCCAAACCCCATTCCCCACCATCTCATTTCTTATTCGCATAACCCTCAATCTTTCTATCCCAATTGTCAATTAAATGCTACTCACTCCCTTCCACTGTGTCTTCTGTGTCTGCTCTATTGGCAACAAATGTGCTTTCATCTTAAATCTTTTTCTCTCCCATTCCTTTCATCCTCTGACTCTCATTGAGACCTAGTTCCCCCTGATGATACAACCTCCTTGGTTTCCAATAGTGACTATACTTTCACTAATTGCCCTTGGCTCACAGGTCAAGATACAGGAGTTGAAATACTCCTTGCTCTATCTCACAACTTCCAGGTGTCTCCCTCTACTACCATCACTCAGTAACCTCTCCCTCTTTGAGGACCACAGAATTCACATCTTCCACCCAGTCAACATCCAAGTAGTTA